GAAAAACTTTTTTCACTTGTATTCTACAGTATGTTGACGTACAATGTTAATGTGAAATCAATATTTCTATTGTTTTCAAAGCCACCCGAACTTTTGAACACTGTTTCTGTTAGTCGTATGTGGGTCTTTTAACGAGATGAAAATTAAATGGTATCCGCGCCTGCGCTATCGGTATGTACTGGCTGGGAACTAGTAAGGGATGATAGGTAAGAGCGAAAGTGGGTCTTTTTGTAACGGGTGATAATGATATGGTAACCCCGCCTGCGCTATCGGTATACACTGGCGGGGTAGTAGTGAGAGATGACAGATTAGGATGTAAGCAGGTCAGTTACCCCATCCTGACGAATTCAACTAGAATTAAATACGATGGTTTCCAGAGGAAGCCACGTAGAGGTTGACCTAATAGGGTATATTGTTATTAATGGGGCTATTTGACCCCATTACTAATAATCCTTTTCCCCCACGAAAGTAGGTCCGTTACCCTAGCGTGGCATATTCCACAAAAAATAACCACAATGATTTCCAGGGGTAATCGCATTTAAGTAGACCTATAGGGTATATTGCCAGTTATGAGGTTGTTTGACTCATAACTAACAATCCCTTTCCCTCCAATCGCATGTGGGTATCGCCTTCTAGTGCCAAGAATTTCTATGCTCCTTTCATTATATACGAAAGCCGAATATAAACAAAATAACAAACTGTCAAATAAAAAACATTTTTAAATTATTCTAAAATTACTTTTAAAATTCGGAGGTTTAGGCTGGGATTCCACCTTGAGATCCCTGAAGGTCAGTCAAGCATTATCCGATTGAGCAGTCACCGCGCTTCTTTTAATTAGTGTCTATTTTTAAATAATAATTTACGAGTGAACATCTTTTATATGACTCTATATATATAAATATATGTTTATATATATTTATATGCTCTTGTATATAACAAAGCTAGTTTTTCAAGCTAAATAGTATATTATTTTAGTATTAGTAAGTAAACAAACTAATATTACTTCTGATCTTCTTTAAATATAGAACTGCTTTCCTTTTTTGAGCCCATATAATATTTAAATAAATTTACATTTCTGAATATACTATTTTAAAAAAATATACATATTAAAGAAAACGAGGTTTGATGAGGTCATCAATAAAGAATGATTACTCGATAAAAAACAAACGATTTTATTATTGTTTGAATTTTATTTCCCATCTTTGAAAAAGGTTAATGTAGGTATAATACTAAGTTCCTAAGGGCACTTTAAACCAAACACAATATGATAGCTTAGGTTTATTGGAAGGAACAAGTACAAAAATTAAAAAATCAAGAAAAGTTACGGTGTTTACAATATATTGCGTTCATGTGATGCCAAATCTAGTCATCATGTTTGAAAACTAAAACATTTGCATTTAGCGCCAACTGGCGGTGAAACCGAAGTTACACTCTAACAATATTAGTACTGGATCAAAGCTAGTTAATTGATCAAAGCGCTATGTTTTGTGAACTATTTACATCCATACTTATTTTTTTTGTATATAGTTATATTGCATTCACACATGTTTTTTAAAAATAAGACACACAGGTCCACAGACGAACGAATAAGCTGATTTAAATTCAAAGTATTTTAAATTGACTATTTTAAGGACCATTAATTCAAAACAGCTGATCGTGGGCGACGGTAGCTTCTATCCATCAGATGGATGATCGTTTTCGTTTGCTTCTTTAACAATAAAAAAAAGTATTTGTAGGGGCACATTCCTTTAAATACAATTTACTAAGTATAGTTTTTCTTTACATCGATGTTAACGTTGTAGGAGCTATGGTTGTTTATTACTTAAATATTTATGATAATGGATTACGTATTCCAATATTCTTTTTTTCTTTTATTTGCTAATAATAGCTAAATTAAGTCTATAGTGAATATATTTATTATAGGTCAGGGTAGGCTTCATCATCACTACATAGTATAAAACAAAGTCGCTGTCGCTGTCTGTCCGTCCCTATGTATGCTTAAATCTTTAAAACTACGCAACGGATTTTGAAGCAATTTTTTTAATAGATAGAAGTAATTCAAGAGGAAGATATATATGTATAATACATGCATAATATAGTAGAAAAAAAAAACTGATAATTTTAGAGGTTTCAAATGTGATGTAATGTAATGTGCACCCGTGCGAAGTCATGGCGGTTGGCTAGTATATAATAATAACAAATTTATTTGCTTTAAACAAGGTACGAAGTTAGTTAAGTTAGTTTAGATTCTTAAGCCTATTTTGCCATTTATAGAATAGCATGCAAATGTCACATTTTAGTAGGAATTGACCAATTTATGCATCGACAACACTAACTATACTAGGTGTTTATCTATCCTTCTTAAAAATATTATCTACTGAATAAAAACTTTTTATAACTAGCCATTTACGAAATATAATTTTAAATTTATTTATTGCAAGAAGCTTCTTTTTTTGTATACAATTTAGAATGGCAAACAAACTGACGGCCCACCTGATGGAAAGTGACACCTGTCGCCTATAGACATGAGCGGTACTATGGACATAACAGAGTATACTGTTTCGCCCATGATACCCCCATGCATTGCCATTCCTGAGGACTCGGGTGTTATCCTTCTGTACCCTGTAAATTTACTGTCATATGTCCCACCCTTCACACCGAAACACAGCCATGCAAATACAACTGCTTCACGGTTGAAACACGAATGGGACAGAGGTACCCAAGTAAACGACTTTTAGATAGATAGATACTCTTTATTATTTCCTCCAAAAGATTACAACAATAAACTTATTCTAGACATAAACAATGGGCGACTAAAAGCGATCTCTTCCAGGCAACCTTTGGATGCAGAGGAGTAATTATAAACACTTTGATTGGAGGCACGATGAAGATCCTATTATTTTTAAATATGGAGATGTAATACATGTAATAATGTAAATATATATCCCTACTTATTATATACATACATACATATATTAATACATATATACATACATAAACACATGCATATAAACACCTACATAAGTACATAAAAATATATAAATACTGCTTACATTTATACGTAAAACACAAAGCTATAAAATTTTTAGACTTTTGTACAAAGTCTCCCTCTGGTAGACGAGACTTCTCCCAGACATACAACGATATTTACAAAATCTTGATTACGATGCCACAGAATTGATATTACATAACATTTATTGATTTTTTTTTTTACAACACAGGGGGCAAACGAGCATGCGGCTCACCTGATGGTAAGTGACTACCGCCGCCCATGATCACCCACAACACCAGCGGCATTGCAGGTGTGCTGCCGGCCTTTTAAAAAGGAATATACTCTTTTCTTGAAGGTTATGTTGTCGTATCGGTTCGGAAATACTGCTGCTGGAAGTTGATTCCAAAGAATGGTTGTGCGTGGAAGAAAGTGCCTTGAAAAACACACGGTGGAAGACCGCCACTCGTCCAGATGATTGGGATGAAACTTTAGTTTGTGGCGGGTTGTACGGTGGTGAAAATCAGCAGCAGGTGTCAATCCGAACAATTCCTCAGAACACTCCCCATGATAAATTCGGTAGAAGATGCACAGAGATGCAACATCTCTGCGCAGTTTCAGTGGGTCAAGTCGGACAGTAAGGCGTTGACTATCGATAATTCGAGCCGCCCGACTTTGAATGCGGTCTAGCGGAAGGAAATGGTACTGTGGCGCTCCTGCCCACAGGTGAGAACATATTCGTATATAGTAGTGTATGTCTTTTGTATATTTAATTGTATGTATTTATTTATGTAATATTGAAAGTACTGACATAATTTTCTGTTTTATGCGCATGTCTTCACGAAGCACTTCATTGTAACTTGTTGTTTTCGTAAAACTGGCTTGCTAATTTAATTTAATTTATATTTGTAAATCAAAATTTCTCTTATAGACGTCCGCGATACAGGTTCGCCTAATGCGGGGTCTAATGTACTCGCTGTTGTAAATTCCTTATATTTAATATATAAATAAATTTAGTAAGTATACAGATACTTATAAACATTATCATATAAATATAAAATATAGAATTTTCTACGAATTAAATGAAAAGTATAAATATTTTAATTCTATGGGTACAAATTAGTTTCAATATATAATACTAAAATAAGTTTCATATTAATTATATGAAATTTATTTTGAGTGTAAATTCTTGCATCAGACCACTTTATATAATAAATTGTAGTACTTGAGACCTATTCTTGGTACAGGATTATCAAAGAGATGAGTTAATAGGTACTGTATTGTTTATGTCTTCTATTCATTAATTAGCTTACATTCGCTATGATATTAATATGAGAAATATCTAATTATTTCTCTTAGTACTTATTCTAAGAATTTTATTCACAACTACCAATTCATCATCGCATGGAAAGATGGAATATTCGAAAATGTTACTTGCTGACAATTTAACTTTCTGTGGGTAAAAGGATTTTAAAAATCAGTTGAATAGGTTTTGAGTTTATTCATTGTAAACAAACAATCACATCTTTCCTCTTTATAATATTAGTATAGTAGAAATAAAATATATAAACTTGGCAGGATTTTTGTTCTTGGAACTACTATTATACAGTCTGTTTGCATTTGTTTTTTTTATATTATTGAGGTGGCAATCCAGCACACAGATTACCTGATGGTAAGTGGTTAACGTAGCCTATGAACGCCTGCAATACCAGGGGTATTACTCGCGCGTTACTGACCCTGGAGAAACCTCTTTACCGCCCTTTTTAAGAAACCTTTGGGAAAACCTCGCCAAGTACTTGTGTTAAGTAATCAGAGTCAGTACCATGTCTTACACATGATTTTTGAATGGCAGCACTTATATAGCTATTCTTTTTTGTTGTGTTTGTCAAGATAAGGTTTCATCATATCAGCCCTTAACTGTTCACTGCTTAACCCTCCTTAGTCGGGCTACTGGTATCGTATTATATTATCTGTGGCTAGACTAGCACCCGATAAGGAAAATAAAATAATGAAAACATTGGTTCTTTTGCAAATTATTTATTTTACAAAACAAATAGACTAGGCAGACTAGAACAATCTTTTTTTTATTTTTATTGGAATTAATAATGTATTTTAAATTTTTATGTACTCGCATAGTTCATTGATGTACTTAATAGGTACAAATCGTGCGTCAATGATTTTATATAATATAATAATTTTTATTTTTCAATATAGCAAAAAGAAATAAAAGAATATATAACATACATACTGAGATTTATTATTATGGAAAAATATAGCAGCGTATACGAAAAGTTGCTTCAAATATCTGTTTATAAAAGTTTTTATTTACTTCCCTATACATATATTGGTTTTATTAAACTTGTAAGTATTCTATACAAAATGGAAATAATTTAATTATATTAGACTGACTCTTATATAGATAGATAAATAGACTTTCGTATATACATTTAATATTAATATTGGAAATTTTATTTTATAAATAAAAATAAATCTTTTCTTCCGGTATTCTAGATATCGAAAATAAAAATATATATATATATACTTTCTTAAACATAGTATTAAAAATCTTGTAAACAGTCATAAAATTAGATATTTATTAGTTCCGATACATTTTTATTCCAAAATTATTTTACATAGTCTTTTTTTTTTTTAAGTTTATACTAAAGTCGACTGTAATTTTGTATACACTTTACACTCGTATTTTGTATAAATTCTAAAGTATTACATAAAATTATTGCAAAAAAATGTTTAGCCACAACCAAGTATTAATTAATTTTATAATAGATATTATAAATAATTAAGATATTATTATATTTTCGAATTCTATTTTCATATAAATAATTCTTGCTTGTGTGGTATATTAAAACGTTATCAAAACCATGACAATAATTAGGATCAATAAACTTTGAAATTAATAAATTATATTTGAGGCAACAGTTATAATATTCTGTTTTGATGCTATATGTAATGTACGTTTCAACATCCTCAATATGTATTAATAAGCTCATGAATAGAGAAATACAAAACGCACCAAATTGTCTCTGGACAGTAATAGGGTTAGTTTGTCCTTCACTAAAGAATCTTGGAATAGCTTTAGGTACAAAGCAAACCAATATCCAATTAGCATTTCCTGTTGTTACACAGAATGCCTATTCAATAATGCTATGCGCTATACGGACAAATATGACAAGGTGAAATCGAAATAGCTCTACATAAAATTAAGAATTACCCATATTATAGAATTATCATGTATATATATCAGTCCTTAACTATCCACTGCTGAATATACTACCACCGGAACCACATAGCATATGCAATAGATAATATAAATTAAAAACGATCTATAAAAAAATCTTAACAGCTGAACGTGCCATGTTTAGGAGACTCATAATTCTTTTTCGTTTCGTTTTTTTTTTTATGAAAATTTACAGTTTTATAAATAGAATACTCCCTTAAAAGGTTGCTAAACATTTTAGGTTTCAATACAGGTATATCAATTAATCCTTATGCAAAAAATAGACACGTTTTTATTCAATTAAAACAGTAATAAAATTAAATAAATATACAATTTACAAACCGAGTTTAAATAAATATCGTATATATTTATTTAAACTCGGTTTGTAAATTAGACTCAAAACTGAGGGACTCTAATCCAATAGTGTCTGTAAAAGTTCATGAACTTTAATTTTGTTTAAACTACAACCTTGAAATATTTAGTACCATAAGCTTGTCTATGGTTGCGTGGTTACGTTCATTCTAGAATTCTCATTCATGTAGTTTATAATTCATGTAATATATTTCCCAGTTTAACAAGATTGATCATGATGTTGGCATAGATTGACTTCTCCTTATGTTACAATGCATTGGCAGTCCTTTGGCAACATTATCAATAATTTAATTGTATAAAAAGTTTTTTTTTAATAACTGTATAATATAAAATACATGAGGCAATTATTCTTAATTATTTATAATATCTTTTTATCTTTTATGTTCTAAAATATAATCAATAATATATATTTAAAAATAAATGTATAAAATTTATCAAAAGATCTCCATATAATGCAAAATCAAATTACAATCGAATATTTTAAACAAATCTACATGTTTTCTTTTGATCAATTAATTTAACATTCGTGTCCATTCTTTTGTAAATATGTACATAATTTTTTTTTATATGTAGTGCTATATATTTTCTAACTCTAACAGATGTCGTTGACCGCATATTAGATTAGAGGCCTCATACACGGACGGATAATTACGAATCGCACGTGTATACCTAATGATGTACATACAAAATACATTCGATACGAAATATTTGACTTTAGCGATTTATGCTTCATTAGTTGAAATTGGTTGACTGGAGCGATAGATATAAGAAAACAATTACTGTAACAAATATTTATTTAATAAAATTTTATTAACCAAGTCTCGTAAATAAATATAATATTTTATTTAAAATTTAACTGCATTGTATTACAAAAATTATCTAGACTAACTAGTGTTTGTATTATGGTTTTTATAATTCTGACAATTTTCAAAACTTAATTAGCCATTCTAAGCAAGTACACGCCAAAGCAAAATGAGAATGCAAAGATATTTAATGAAATACCCAGGAAAGCTACGAAATAGAATTCATTTTATGAAACAACGTATCACATTACAGTATTTGCACAAAATTTTTAGATTTACTATAAATATTTACATTATTAAACGTTTTCTGTAATTTCGTATATATCGTATTTCATAATGATATCCCTAGGTATTTCACGATATCCCTAATATTCTCATTTTCCTGCGACATATACATATAAGTAAATCATTCTGATAACTAAAATAGTTTAAATTAAAATATGTATTACAAATGTTTGTTAATTGTAACAATGCGTACAATTTTATTACTTCGACCTGTCCACACTTATACCTCCTAAAGTATATATAAATGACTAGTAATTTACCTTAATATAATTTGGTATAAAGTGATTTTTTTACATAACAATAATCTAAATAAACAGATTTAATAACCAAACTTCAAAACATTTTAACGTTTTATTGTAATTTGATGTACATTTTGTTTTTGATAACATCACATGAGCAATTTTTGAGCAATAATAACTCAGTGACTGTTATAGGAAGTAATTGTACATTACGAGTACCTATTAATATGGAGATTTCCTTGTCAGTGACAATTTTATTGCTACATATTAATATCAAAGTATATTATTTGTTACTTTCGGATATTATAATTCACAAATATTGTCCAGGATGTACAACATTTATAAAATACTGTTGCAGAAAAAGTCAATAGTGTACAAATAAAATCCTAAATTAAATATTAGAGGGCAAAAACATATATATTACAAACATTTAAAAACTTGCAAGGTTTAGGTCACGTCACGTGACTGTAAATTGGACTGTATTGTTTGTGATTTTAATTAAGCTACTTAGCAGCTCAATTTAATCTGTAAAACAGGCGATAAGCCCCTAGCGTTATACAATTTAAATTGTCCACGTAAACACATTTTGTTTATGCAGACGAGAGAAGAATAACAATTCTATCTATCTACTGACGACTTGCAATGCAATAAAATATTGTATTCTATTTTGCCGGATAAAAAATATACCACCCCTGTTTTATATCTACACAGGTTTCGTGTATTCGGACTAAGACTGTAAGAATTAAAAATAGGAATTTTGAAAATCTCAATTTAAATAATTGTAAAATAAATTTTAATCATTTTCAAATTTTTTTTAATATTTATAATTATTACATGATCAGAATGAATGAATGTTCGGAATCCTTTCCTTGAACTGCCAAGATTAAATTTAGATTATTGCTCTCGGTTATTAATTCTGTTGGTTAAGATATTGCTATTTCTTACATATTTATTCATAAAATACTTATTACCTATATTGAATATAACTAAATTTCTTCTATCTATTGAGGCATTGGTGATACTGATCTTCTAGCTTGGCTAGCTTTGTCGTCGCAATATGCTCTGATGTCTGCAATTGGTTTTAACAGGAATATAGGCACGTCGTCATCGCGTTTCTGAAATAAAAAAATAATATAAGTATAAAATAAATTGTAAAATAATCTTTTGTACATCTTTATACAAAATAAATTATAACTATGTAATATTTGTGTACAATATAAAACAAATTAATTAATTAGAAATTCTTAATTTTTTACGATAGATGCGTTACGTATGAAAATAATTTAACCTTAATTTTGTTTAAGCAACTTAGAATGATAAATAAATTGACAAACTAAAATGGTTAATTTATAAGTATAAACACGAATAGCATTGTAAACATTACAGAATATATTGTAACTCTCATCATATCTTTCAAGCATGGTATATATATTCGAATTGAGTTTGTTGTTAATACCATATTAACATAGTGACGATTCATATTTCCACTTCTGTGTAAAAAAATTATAAAGTAGGTCTTTACAATTAAAGGTTGATGGTTTAATGATAAAACAGTGGACTGCAAAACTGTTATAATTCTTGTCGAAGTTAATTGAACAAACAATATAAAATAAAGATACGCATAAGGTGTAGTCGGTGACGTGACACAAAGTGAGGAATAGAACCGATTTAAGCCGAGCCCGCCGGACGATTCTCAGTGTTGCTGTTCGATGAAGTGCGAACAATAATAAATAAAAAAGAAAAAAAAAAATACATATATATTGAGAAGCAAAATCTACGCATAGACAGACGTCTTCGCATTCTAATTGAAATACATATTTCAAGTCGTTATTTTTGCTGAGTAAAATTTACCTATTATTTAGTTTGAGTTAGTACAATAATTATAGATTTTACTGTGTTAATTGGAATAAAACAAATAAATAACAACGGACAGTTTTGTTTCTATTCATTGAAATTTATGTAGGAATAGTTTTGTATTAGTTAAGTTGTAAAATGAAAGTATTCACTTTTGTGCCTGGAAAGTAATTAACTAATTTGCTAATTAATAAATTACTATTTGATTAATGTATTATTTGCTAATATGAAATTTAAAACGTATATATACTCGCAATAGGATTTTTAATATTTTTTACATTATATTAGATAGATTACCTTATATATGGTAATTGGGTATCATCGTCATCTCATGGTGAGTACAATCATAACAAAAAAAAAAAGGTTTTATATGTATTGCTAATCTAACATGTTAATCATACTTAAACTTTATATTTTATTGAGAGCTATTTATTTTTTAATTTCTAAAAGTTTCTTATATTTTCTCGTGTACCCGGACTAATGTAGCTATCTAGACATTCTAAGTACTACCTACGTTCTCGTTACCTACTGACATAAATTGTCAGTAGATTTTATGTAGCTTTTAATTTTAGGTTGAAAAAAGTGTTTTATAATTTTATTAGTTAAAAATCTACCTAGAAAACATTTTTATCACTAAAACGATTTTTTCAAATCATTCATAAAGCAATTACATGTTTAAATTGATTTTATATATATTTATTTCACATTTAAATCGAGAGAAAATGTCTATTAATAAATTAAATTTATAAATATTTTATATTATTTTATATATATATATATATATATTATTTTTACGGTAGGCTCATCTCTACCGTTTTAGGTTCAAATATGCTCGGCGAAAGGTAGGCATATCGAGTGTTACGTTTACTACGATAGCGACAACAATTGCCTTTACCCCATCTAATTATTATAGTCATGGGAGTATTTACAAACTATTTTTTTATTTTTTATACAGTTGGTATGTTTCATAAAAAGATTCAATTTACTATTTAAATAGTTCATTCAACGATAGTAAAAAATAATATAATATCTACATTTTATGTCACAAATCTCTAAATATTCTAATTTATTTTTTTAAGTAACACTAAAAACAAATATTAGAAAGAAAACTGATTACTTTTGAACTTGCTCTGAATCTCAAATATCTAAAAAAAAAAAACATAATCCCGAATCTCTCTACCAAATTTCCGATCAAGGTCACATAAAACTATGCGAAATTCAATATTCTCTGCGTTTACCAACGCTAGTACCGTATTATTCTAATATTTTTATACAACAAAGAAAACCATCTATCTACGAGACCCGGGGGTAAGATTTTAGGAATATCGGAGTTTATTGATGTCACAGGAGAGCAAAGGGTAGGCACTCACTTGTGCCTCCCTAATATTACGACTAAAGGAACCGACAACAACGCTTGGAATTATTTTAGGGTTAAATGTGTTTAAGTATATTAAAAAGAAATTAGAGGTTTTTAATGCCATTGTATTTTTTTGTTAGTATGGTAGGTAATGGGGGAGGCCTATGTTCAGCAGTGGATAGATAATAGCTAATATGATGATGATGATGGTAGGCAATATCTTGATCAATTCTGAACAGATTTTGAATTTCTTTTTGCAATCGATAGTCTTTACTTTCGTGTTCATCTTAATTTTTTCACTATAATAGCAGGATAATTTTCAATACCCTATAGCATATCATATTTTAGATAAAGTCAAAACAATTATCGAAAACTGTAAACATAGTAAGTTTATTAAATTTCATATATATCTAATATATAATATTCTCGTGTCACGGTGTTTGTTACCAAACTTCTCCGAAACGGCTTAACCGAATTTTATGAAATTTTGTTTGCATATCAGGTATGTCTGAGAATCGGCCAACATTATTTTTATATATATATATATATATATATATATATATATATATATATATATATATATATATATATATATATATATATATATATATATATATATATATATATATATATATATATATATATATATATATATATATATATATATATATATATATATATATATATATATATATATATATATATATATATATAATATTTCTCATCTAATTTTAATAAAACATTGCTTACGCTGTTATGATTTTGCATAATCACCCGATAAAATTGAATAAACAATAAATTAATTAATTCACTTTTATCAAATGGTCATTCACTCTAGATATATGAACAAAATAACTTTCTACGCGTACTACGTAGATACGCTTTCTGTTGTATAGGATATGAATATGCTCGGCGAAATATAATCATGTAGAATATTATGTTTTTCACAAAGATAAAAGTCAATAAATATCTCTGACTACCGTATCAGAGATTATAGTCGTGAGCATTCTATTATTTTAAACGAATTGCTAAAAGCTTGTAAAAATGATTGGGCTCTTATTCTATTATAAAATAATATAATAAATACGAATGTTTATAACAATGGATGGATCGAAGTTTGTTACTTTTTCACGCAAAAATTTCTGAACGGATTTGAATGAAATTTGGTACAAGGGTAGGTTATATCCTTACTTAGCAGATAATTATGTACGCATTTAAGCGGGCGGAGCTGCGAGATACCGCTAATTGCTTAATAATTAAAATTTGTATCAGAGAGACTTTATACAAAAGTCGTTTGCACCTCTGTCCCATACGTGTTTCTGCGATTTAGCAGTTGTGCATGGATGTTTCAGTTTGAAGGGTAGCATATATCATTGAAATTACAAGGTACGGAGGTATAACGTTAACCTTCTAGAATATCAACACATTAAGTATAGCATGGGTATCACAAAGTATTTTGTGACGTTCATATTGCTGTTCATGTTTATAAGCAACATTTACTGCTTCCCAACAAGTGGGCCGTCAGCTTGTTTGGCATACCAAGTTTCATAAAGAAATCTCTAGATAATTCTGCATTTAAATAATTTAAACGCACTTTTATATATAGATGATGCACTCTATTTTTGGACACAAAGGTTATTTTTCCGAAGATTGATCCTACGAGATAATTTACAATTTAACTAATTGCCGTATAATCTTGGAATAGGATGAGTTACTGTTTCCTTTCTCTTGGGTATCATAAAAGGTAATTAAGGGAACTTAATAGTCGAGGGATGGGCAGTAGTGGTCCTATTAAAACATCACCAAAAGTCTAACTACGGCTGCCAACACGTCTGCCAAGCGCAGGGAAATATTGACAAAACCTCCTTATAGGGGAGCTGTACTTTCAGCAGTGGGTTAACAGCTGATATGATGATAATGATAACTAAATTCATATGAAGTCACGGATAAATATTTGCAGAGGTTCTTCAAAAAGGATATATTAAGGTTTCTTCGGGATTGGCAACGCGCACGAGACACCCTTGGTGTTGCAGGCATTCATAGGCTACAGTGATCGTTTACCATCAGACGCGATGTATGCTTGTTTGCCACCTTTATGCTATAAAAATAATAAATAAAAAATATTCATACACGAGAATAGCCGATAAATAGATTTGTTAGTCACATAATGTACTTATAAGTTACAGAAGAACACACAAACATGCCAATTCGCCATCTGGAGTTGCGAATGTGATTAATAAGGAAGCGAAAACAAATTCCAACTAAAGTAATATTCACCTGAAATAAAACTTCCCCCTCGAAGTACGTCAGATGGTGCTTCCTTGACCTTAAAAGTATTCCAACGAGTTTGTCCGAGATCACTGTGTATATCTGTGGAAAAATAGATATAATAAATTCTCAGTAGAAATTGTATTGCAAATAGGCGATAGATGAATGACTATTCAAAAATGCTTGCCATTTACTTGAATAAAAAATACTTTTATTGTAAAAAAAGAAATATTTCAATACATTTTTTTGTAAACACATACACACACTCGCACATAAATTTTTCCAACTTAACCACCTTAAGGATTAGATAGGTTGTTCACTTAGCTACAATTTCTTTTTTTTTTGTCTCGATACCATCATTTCTCGCTGAGCTATCGGACTTTAAATGAAAATGTATCATTTTCTCTTTGTTACTAAATTGCATTATAGAAGAAATAAATCGTTGACATTAACTAACTTATATTGAATATTTAAACACTTTATTACGTGAACTTTCTGTGGTAAAGATAAAAAAAATTAAGTAAATATATTAAATGTATCAATAACTTAACTCTAAAATTTAACTAATAATTAATTAAAAATATGAAATTTCTTTAAGCCCGTCTAATAAAGTAGGTAACATCTGTTTACTTGTAAAATTGTTTTAATTAAAAATGTTAACATATGTATTTATTAAAATATTTTTATTGGTTATAAGATATGCATCTAAAAATTCTTAGTAAGTGTTTTCATTTATATTTAGTAGCGTTCTGTCAATAAACTCTATAAAATATTTAATAACTGTAGAAAAAGTTTTTGAAATTCTTAGTAACTACCTCTAAGGTTGAAATTCTTAGATAAATTAAAGATAACTGCTTCTAAGTGTTTACTAGAAAACATTATGCTAGAATGGATTTAAGTATAAGTTATTTATATGTCAGCTAACATGGGTATTAAACATGTCTATCGATAAAAAAGAGTCATCTAAAACGGATTAGAGTTGGTCAAAATCGTAGAAAAAGTATCGAAAATATTGCGTCGCCCGAAAAATGTTAATTTAAAAGCACATTGTTGTACTTAAATATTAATTTGTAATCATTTCATTTTATTTTTATTTAATAAAAGTAATAATATTGTGATGGAAAATTTTAAGTTTAGATACGTGCATATATACTACCTATCTAAAAAAAATGCATAAAACCAATATTGACGTAGCGCGCACGTCAATCGATCGGTGCGAACCAAGCGAATATCAAAATATTCCAGAGTTTACTGCCGTAGCATCCGCTTCCATATCTGGCCAGGATCTTGTTTACGTTGCTAATTATGTGAACAGACATTAGTAATCCAAAATTAAATCTTGGCCGTGACGGACTGCCGCCGCGCCGCAAGGAATGCACGTGACGTCATGCGTATCGTCATAGACTGTTACATATACAAATACTAGCAATAATAAGCAACTTACTTGCATACTACGTTCTGATTTGAAACGCGAGTATCGCATTGCAATTATTGAGTACTAGTTTTTCCTGTGACTTTGTTTACGTGACTGAGATGAAAAGTAAGAATAAAGAAAGAGTAAGTAAGATGTGTACACTAATTTTAGAAACAACTTAACTGATTTTAATGCGATTTTCACTAATGCGTTGCGATTTGCTCCATTTTACATTTAATATTTGTTTTATTTTAATCGGTTTATAAATAAAAAAGTTATATTAATGTAAATAATCACATTTAAAATGCTATAAAACAACAGATCGCTTAAATTGATTAAATTATTTTGTATACGAATATAAAAAAAACAACCAATGTATAAAAAATTTTGATTTTCGAAAATTCTGTCTATTCGTGACCGTAACCCGGGTGGGATCGCTAGTACTATATATATGTTAAATTTCATGATAATTAGTCAAGTCGTTGAAGCGCCAAGAGATAACAAAAAACTTGCCTCTATTTCGCGCTTATAATACGAATAAAAGCATAGTCCATATTTGTAATCAGCTTAGATTATACAGATACTAATGCTTCGCTAAACACAGGTCAACCTTTTCGTCCATGTGTGCGTATAAGGGTTACCATAATTTATATTTATTACTCAGTGTATGGGAAAATTATAGTAGAAAGTTAAATTGTAAATAAAAAAACGATAAACGAATATATTTGAAAGAACAAGATAAATAGTGCATAATAATTAGTAAATATGCTTAACTTTACTTCAATACTTTGATTTACATGTGAGTCTATACTATTTATGTCTATACATAAAAAGATGTTTTCATTTTTAAATAATAAAAAATGGCCACCACTTTAATTAATACATGTATGTTCAAGTAACATTTACATATGTATATTTACGAGTATATCGGAAAAATAGTTGCAAATTCAAATTTAAAAAATCAATCTGATCTGGGATTTTTTTAAACCAATTAAGTAATTGCAAGTGCAGCATTAGAAAAAAAAACGCGTTTGTTTGGATTCAAAAAAATATAATCAGCCAAACATCACATTGGCTTACTAAATTTTAACATGTTTTCGACATTCGATGCTCTATCTGTATAATCTAAGGTGGAATTATGTGTGCCATTCCCAAAGAGGGTTGAATTCCCAAAGAGGGTTGACGTCAGGCAGGCGGCCAGTCGTAAAACTATAAGCCAAATCTTTTTGCAATATGGATAAACAGCATATTACGCCGACCCCAAATAATAATTGGGATAAGGGTAGGAAAATGATGATGAATTATGTGTGCCATGTAATTATATGATTACGTCGCGAATCCTGAACCGATCTTAATAACTATTTATCTGCAATTGACAGAAATTGGTTTATTATTAGTGTTGTAACAATTGAAACCGCCGTTTATCTTTGTGGAGCAAAAAAATACTTGTTGCGAACAAAAGCTAAACATAAACACGCAATCCTATATTCTAAATTAAAATGTTTTTAATTTAGAAATTATTTTATTTATGTATTTTTATGCAACATACAATGGCAAACAAGCTGACAGGTCACCTGATGGAAAGTGGTAACCGTCGCCTATAGACATGAGCAGTATCATGGGCATTACAGAGTACATATAGTGATTCGCCCATAATACTCTATATATATAATTAATTTATGTTTTGGAAAATAAAATATATAAAATATATTAAAAAAGCGTCATAAATTTGACTTACTAAATAAACCTGTCTAGAAAAGATCCCTCTTGTAAAGAATTTAATCGTTTAAATGTGCATAAGAAAACTCTTTGTATTTTTAATAAAAACTCAGTTTCATTACTTTCGTGCCGTAATCATGCGGAAAACCTCGTTTTTTTGACATTGTTGATAATAACATAAACAAAAAAGTAATTTAATATTTTGAAAAGAAATCCGTTAAAGTTTTCTGCGTTGATAAACAGACTATAGCTGAGCCCGAAACTTCACTCGTATAGAAAATAAAATAAAAATAAATACTAATATAATAAGTGTGATTGTGACTCTGTTTGAGCTTCAGGGGTGTTCTTCTCTAGAAATCTGTTCGATTCTAGAATAAGGGCATACGGGTACGCGACCCCGGCCTCCTGAGCCACTGCAATGTTCCAGTCCTTTCCGTAACTGCAGTGTCCCCCCCCCCATTTCCTTTCCCACATAAGTACCTTATTCCTCTCATTTACCAATTTTCTTTACGCATTTCCAACGTTCCCTTCCTTTTTCCTCAATCCTTTCCTCCATACCGTAACAAATGCATTCCCAAAGAGGGTTGACGTCAGGCAGGTGGCCGGTCGTAAAACTAAAAACCAATATATGGATAAAATCATATTACGCCGACCCCAAATGATTGGGATAAGGGTAGAAAGATGATGTAACTCTGTTTGTTACTTCTTGGCACTTTAAATGCTCAATCAATCATCATGAAATTTACCATACAAAAAGTATTTGCCATCAAGAATATAGGTTATTTTTTATTGAATTCAATCAATATTACGTAGTTTCACGGACGATGTTGTAGGTTTACGATTATTAGTATACGATAGACATAAATCCTTCTTTTCCAGTGAGAAAAAATACCTTAGATGTCGTCCCGTGATATAACTTATTACCTAGTTTGTCGAGTTTCATTAAAGTCCACTGAGATGTTTCCGTATGATGCCTACGCAGATAAAGTACCTTTATTAATGTTAATAGGTTTTCTTAGTGGTAATGGCAAACAAGTTAATCTTTTTCTTAGAAATGGAGTGGCATGTACGCGGTTTCTTAATTGATATAATAATAGTATGGTCTTTAAAGGATGAAAATAAAATAGTCAACCCGCCTGCGATATCAGCATACACTGGCAGGACACAAGTGGGAGATGACAGGTGAGAATGAAAGCGTTCTAAGTGAAACATGAATTTATGATGATTTCCGAGGGGAACCACGTGTAGATAGTAGACTTGATAGGGTATATTGCTAGCAAGGGGACTGTTAAATCCCCATCACTAACAATTTCTTTCCTCCTAATAATGTAATGGCAACTCCGCTCGCACTTTTGGTATTTCTTAGCAGGATGATAGCATGAGGGATAGGCGAGGATGAAGCCAGGTCAGTTGGTCAATCGTAATTAATTGGGGGGAAAGGGATTGTTAGCAATGGAGTTTGACAGCCTCATTGCTAACAATATGCCTTATTAGGTCGACCTCCACGTGGTTCCCCCTGGAAACCATCGTGAACAATCCTTGTTGAATTCGTCACGATGGGCTAACTGACCTACTTCATCCTCATCTATCATCCTTCACTGGTGCCCCGCCGGTGTATACCGATAGCGCGGGTGGGGTTACCATTCCATTATCATCCATTAAAAAAAATCGTATTTAATTCATCAGAAATTAAAGCGGCAGTCAATCTGACAGAGCATTCAGGTGGCGATTGGATAACTAACGCTTTAATTACTAACAATTCTTCCCTCCGAACTCTCCTCCATGTATACGCATTTTATACAATGACAGAGCACCAGTGGGAGATAAAATGAGGAGGAAGTCAGACCAATTGGCCCACTATGACAAATATACTATGTATTAGCCACAGTTTCTCAGAAGTCTTTGAATGTTTACAAAAGTAAAATTTTTATCATATTTCACTGTAACAAACAGATGTCATTCATCTATA